CTTACATATCGCCGTCGTGTTCTCGCTATCGCTGCTTGACTGACACGCCTTAACTCGAGCAAGCAGCTTGCCTTTCGCCCAGGATATTCCTGTATCGCCTAAGTTGGTGATCCTAATGTAGCATCGTCTTTCGTCAATCACACCCGCCGGAATCAACACCGTGGTTCCCTTAAAAGGAAACAGTTTGGCATCCATGTAATACGTGACTCCCTCCACGCCACCTGTTAGTTCCGCTCTAACTTTATTCACCGTTGAAGGTAACAGCGTAACATCTTCAGCCAAAATAACCTGACAGCGTTCTCCGTCGCCATCGAGAGTGATACGCCGCATCAACTCGTTAAAATCAGGCTCCTCCACCAAATACGCTTGATTTCGTCGTACCACCATAGTAATGCCAGGAGCAGTAATGGTGGGTTGGCCTAACAACAGCTCGATTAATCCCATATCGCAGTCTGTTACCAACGCCGTGGTACTTAGTGCACAATATTTCATCACCAAATCAAACAGAACCTCGCCAAGAGCATAGGCTGTTGCTCCACCAAAACCTTGTAGGATAGTGTCCCGTTCTCTCGCCTGTATACCAAGCCTTAATCGCCTCGCCGTAGTCAAAGTCATGAGATTCTGCTCACTACCAGTATCCAAATACGCCGTCTTCGCCGTTTATTTTTACCAAATTCTTAAAACAAGATTCAATTGGGGAAATAATCAATCTTACCTGACGTACGCCATCGCCGGTTGCTCGTCTCTTGGGACAGTTGTTCACCCAATGTCCTCTGTCGCCGCATCTTCTACATCTCTCCACCTTGTGTGCCGGGCAGTCTCGACTTAGGTGCGTCGTTATCTGCTGGCAATTGTAACACCTCGCCTTTTCGCCGTAATTGACTCCACTAGTTCTCGCCGGAATAGTGATTCTGGACGCCACTGGTCTTCTAGGCTCCACGCCGGGGTAGCTCTCCAGCCCCGCCAAGAAAGTACTATACAAAGCCTCAGGACTAACGCACGGCTCGGAGCTCCTGGGGCAGACCTCTAATTATTAAGGAAACCGCATCAGCGCCTCTGATACGAGCCCTGTCGCACAACGCCAACTTCGCATGGTAGTATGTCGTCATTGTTTCTGTCGCCAACTTTCGCCGATTAACCAACTATTCCAGAATGACAGCAAAATCCAAACGCCGTGGAAATGCCGCCGCCAGTCTCTCCTTCCACTCCGCCCAGGTGAGGTCATAATCCTCTAGTCGACAGAACCATCGCCTCGCCGCGCCGTCTAGTCTGCTCTGAGCAACCGCCGATCGCTCGTAGTCAGACCATCCATGGATCGCCCCCAGTTGATCGATGCGTCTCAACCACCTCTCGATATTGGAATCAGCATCAGCAGGATCGAATTTTTCAACCAGCTCCGATCCCAGCAATGATCCCCGCCGACCACCACTCGCCGCTGACGGTCGGTCCTCCGATTCCGCTCTCTTAGATCCCTGGCCGTCGCCTCGGTCAAATCGCCTATCACCAACCTTGCTTCCTGTCCAACAACCTTGGCTATACTTTGGTTGAGGCCGCCCGCCAACAAAGCCGTAACTATTCCTTCCATTGTTACACCTGCGCCGGTCAACTCAACTGCTGGAGGATCTAGACGCCGTCGCCGCCTCGGGGAGTCCACCAGCTCAGGTGTTGATGTTGTTCTCTCCCGCCGTGGGGACCCATCGACATCCAAATCGACCTCATAGTTCATAAGGTTCTCCTCTTGACTCGCCATCTTACAAGAAAAAGGAAATATTGAAATTAATATCCGCCAATATTATAGAAATCTACGCTACTGATTCTTAACCTCCGCAATTTAAAATAATAGTCCTATACTAACGCCTTAGTACGCCAATGAAACCAAATCGCCGTAAAAATTATAAATTCCTATTCTAATTTAAGTTACCTACGCCGCTGGTCAATTTGAAATTGACAGCTTACTGGATCGCCGCTAGTCCGCAACAAAAGAAGATACAAAAATAATTTATCAAAATTTAGTGACCGCCGTCACCTAATTAATTGATAAATCGCCGATATCAAACTTTATTTCACGCCAGAAATAAGAATAAGATGTAATTCACGCCGACTACAAACTTATCTTACGGCTCGTCATAAAATGTCACGTCGTTGCAAATTAATACCACAGAAACGCCTCTGTATATTAATTTTATTTAAATTCGCCGATTAAATATCAAAAATCAATTATTCGCCAATTGATTTAACTCAAAATATCGTTTTTGGAATAATGATAATCGCCAAAATAAATTAAAATATAATTTTCAGTCCCTTCTCAATGTAAACAGAAACGCCGTTTAAGATAGTTTCACGCCGAAAGCTACCTTAACTATTCTACTGCTAAGGTCGAGAATAGCAAACGCCCGCCGGCAAGCAACGTTTACCTGTAGACCTCACCGCGTCATTGAACTAAAATAAATAAATATAATAAATAAAATCCCACATAACTACATTGGATATAAGGTCGAGAATCGTGCGCCGCCGATAGAGAACAAAGGAATTCGTCAAAATCTCCCAAAAAAAAAAGATAATTATTGTTACTACATGTACTAAATCGCCATTAAGTCGCCAGTAATAATGAATTTGTACTTACAGTATCGCCGATCGCCTTTATTTGTTTTTAACACCACTTATTTATTCCAAAACGCCGATTGAAATTGAAACTCACTGTTTTTACCGAGGTTTTCACTTCTTTCGCCCGCCAGGCACTGTGCAGTCCTTTCACTCAGAACTGTTTATTCGTAATTTCCAAATACCACATCAACATCTATATGTATATTGTATTCTCCCCTGAACGCCGTTCCCGTTCACGAGTCGCCTGTCGTCCCTCTAGTGCTTTCCGCGACCTCTCACGCCAGTTTTACGACGATTCTCTACAGAGTTGCCAGTTCCGCCGTTGCCACTTGTAGAGGGTCGTAACACAGGTATATAAAGTTATGATCCTTCATATAATTGCTTTTGATGAAATTGATCTGCTCAATTTTTCTTTTTGAGCGTTTATATGATAATAGACCTAATGCAACACCTTTGAAAATATCATGTATGTGAATATATCTTGTTTATTTTTTTCTTGTTAGTTACTTAAATGTACATACAATTTTGATTCATGTTCATTCAATTTTTGCTTGTTAGTTCATTATGATTATTATTATTTTTATCATTCTCTACCAATAAAGAATAATTATTATTGTTTCTGAGCTTTTCTTTTACAAACTCATAGGAACAATCCACATCTAAACAAGGTTAAAGACAAAATGCAACTCCCAGAAAATCTCTTGGTTTTGAAAATGAATGAAAATTACTTTGTTAGCTTCTATTTGGGAGGCCAGGTAGCCGTGCGGACAGAGTGTCTATATTCTAATTCGCATTCGCTTGCCGGTCGTGGGTTCGAGTCCCGTCGACTGCAGAAATTTTTCTGATGGCCCAAGAAAGTGTTTGGGATCACACGTTAAAAGGTAAGGCCCCCGTCATTCTTCGCTCGCACAAGTCTTTCGAAGACTTTTGAGGGTTGCTCGTAAGGGGGCAACCGAATGACGGATAGAACAATTTTAGAACAACAATTTTTTTTAGAACAATTTTGTGTTAAATAACTGGGAATCTGTTCAATTCAGCTCAGTTGAAAGTTTTGCTTTTAATCATCGTCATTGAACAAAAGGAATTTGATAAATTTGAAAATAATACAAATTGCATCAGTGGCATAGAAAATGTGGAAGAAATAAGTTATCAGAGCCTCCTGTAGCGAGGCACTGGAAGACCAGAAAATTCAACAGTTTTTGAGTCATGGAAGTATACTTTTTATATCTAAGTATATTGTGGGATGAAATAAAAAACCAAGTTGATGCAAACATTTTTATCAAAAACGGGATCCTGACTGAAAAAAAAGTTTATTTCCTCATTAGGACAACAAAAAAACAAAAAAAAACGTCGAAACTCTGTGATGAAAACATTTTCTAGATGCACTAACAATATTGTATGTTGAATCTTAATGAAAAAATGTAGGTATTATTCATAAATGACAATATTATTACATATAAGGTCTCTGGATATTTCAACAAGTAAAAAAATGCCCTAATTGGGACAACAAAAAATAAAAATTAACTCACCAAAAATAAAAGTAACAATTCCTAGATAGGTACACTTATATTGATAATACTGTTTGTTGAGTATTTCAATGAGAAAAATTTTATTCATAAATGACAATATTATTACACACCAGGTCTTCGGATCTCTCAACTAGTACATAAATGCCCTAATTGGGATAACGAAAAACAAAAATAAACTTCTCAAAAATAAAAGTAACAATTTCTAGTTACACTTAATATATTAATAATACTCATTTTGCTAGATTATAATATGAGATGTTCCCTCCTCGTTTCTACAAAATGAAAATATGAGTATGATTTCAATATACGTGTAGTAGGACAAATCAGATGATTTGGCCCAAAATGTCACTGCCTTTAAAAACACTTTCTATCATAGAGCCTAGAAGCAGAATCTGATCGTTTGTCAGTTATTTGAGAAATGCTCGGAGAAAAGAAATATAGGAAAATATTGAAAAAATATCGAATTTTCACTCAACTTTGGACGTTGCGGGAACAAATCTGCTCTCGTCCAAAGTTAAGTGAAAATTCGATATTTTTTCAATATTTTCCTATATTTCTTTCCTCCATTTTTTTCAACACAAGGTGTCACTGATGATTGGATTTTACTTTAAGGCTCTCTGATAGAATTTTTCTTAAACGCAGTGACATTTTGGGGCGAATCATCTGATTTGTCCTACTAGACGTATATTGAAATAATACTCATATATTTTTATTTTGTAGAAACGAGGAAAGAAAATCCCAAATAATGTAGCAAAATGAATATACCACCTCGCTCGATTAAATAATACTGTTTGTTAAGTACAAGTCTTTCAATAATAAGAAAATATTCTTCATGAATGACAAAATAAATGCATTATACACCCATAGTCATTGAATCGTTAAAAAGTACAAAAGTTCATGAACTTCTGGTCTTTCCTCGGGTATGTACGACAAACACTTCGAAATTAGATCTTTCATATAGTTGGGAATAGCCAGGACACTATTTGGTACTTCAAAATTCAACATTTTATTATGCAGTAGTTGTTCATCGTCAATATCATCGTCATCGAGGTCCCACACTCCTGATTCGGCGAACATTTCAATTAAAGTGCAAGCTAATGACCAAATATGGCATTGATCCATCCAGAGAAGAGCCATTCGCCTGGTGGGTGACGCCACACTCACTCACTCTTTGACATCATTGGAACACCGTAGAAAGGTCGGCGACCTTTCACTTTTCTATCGATACTTCCACGGGGAATGTTCTTCGGAAATCTCTGGTATCATCCCTTCACTAGCAATACCAATCAGACGAACTAGACAAGCCCAGTCAGCACATCCTTTCGTTGTCAACCTCGAAAGATGTCGAACAGCACTTTATCAAGACTCCTTCATCCATAGAACGGCTAGGCTCTGGAATTCATTGCCTGTGGAAGTATTCCCAACAACATATAATCTCCAGAAGTTCAAAAAAAACTCCAATACCTACCTCCTGTCCCTATCCTTCCTAGGAACGCACGATGTTCTTGCGCTCCAAGCGATAAAAAAAAATTTACTCGTTGGCGATTCTTTGAATAAATACATTTCTGGGGGCATGTACATAGGGGTACCTTTAACTACTGATACCACAGTTTTTGTCATACTGGTTAATCCATCTAGTTTGCTCAATCCCAGATCGCAAATTTTAGCAGTCAAAGATAAACTGGATACAAGAATATTGAGTGGTTTTAAATCTCTGTGAATAACTGGTTGAATTTGTTTGTGTAAATAGTTGACCGCTTGGCATATTTGCAGTGCTATTTTTCTTTTTTTCGTGTCATCTAGTTGGTAATCATTTCTAACAATACTGTCGAATATAATATTATGCAGACTGTCTCCCCGAAGTAGTTCCATAACAACATGAATATTGCTTTTATCGTAGCAAACGCCCATGATCTGGACTATATTGGGATGTCTCAGACAGGTATGTATATGAATTTCTTTAAAAGCACCATTTTTTTTCGATTTTTTTTTTCGATAAATATTGTTTTTATAGCAACATCGGTACCGAGCCATACCCCTTCTGTGACTTTTCCTTGACTACCACATCCCAATACAGTTTTTGAAAAGAATAAATTTTCTATACAAATGACAGGTAACTCCGAGGGTAACTCTGATGAATTCTTTTCTATTTCAAGGTTTACTTTAGTTTTAGTAAGTTCTACTTGGAAATCATTTGAACATGAAGGAGTTGGAACAATATCAGTAATTTTTGTTTGTTTGCTCTTCCAAAAAATTAATTACAGCAATTGCTGATTGAATTTTGTTCTCTGAACATTCAACATCACAATAGTACTTACCATTTTTGACAATTGTGATGAAATACTGCATGGGACCATCTTTGAAGATAATATCATTCAAATACCATCTGAATGTAGGATTACATTCATAGGTGCAAGAAGGAATCACACAAAGTCCTACATTTCCTTCATATATTCCAATCATTGTGTTGATATCATACAATAAAGAATGAGAAACAATGATAGTGTCTTGGAAATTTGGGAACTGAAACTCATACTGATTATGTTCATCTTCGAAACTAATATTCAGGTAGCAATCTGTACCTGAACTAACATTACAAATTTGGAATCCAAAGTCTGAAACACTATGTTCTTTATAGTTCCAGACCATCTCTGGGCATTCAGAAAGAATCACATCTACACATGATCTAGTATCAAGAAAGCTCTGAATTATTGATGATTTAGAGTACTTTGAAGTTTCAATTCGGAAATACTCAATCTTAAACTCATCAAATCCATAAGTATTAATATTTCCTTTTACTATAATATTTTTCTCTGATAGAATATTTGTCTCAATTTCTAGGTCAGTTTCGTTTGTACTTATATTAGTTGGTTCTGTTACTACCTTATTATTTGTATCAGTTCCTGCATCATTGTCTATTGTACTTATATAAGTTGGGTCATCATCTGTTAATAAATAGAAGTGGTGGCGTGATGGGCTCAACCCCCTACATCTTATGTATTCCCATAAATTACAAATGTTCTCTTCCTTATTTCGAAATGATTCAATTTTTGTTTCATCAAAATTGCCTGAATTATAATTGGAATTCTCCTTCAAAAAACAATATTTGTCTGGGTTATTCTTATCAAATAATATATCTTTCATGATATCTGTCAATTTTTGTACACTAATATCTTCTTCTTCTTCTTGGAATTCAATATAAAGGATTCCTCCCAATGGTTTCTTCACCTGAATATATTTTCTATTGCTTTTGTGAAGCCATCCAATATGAATTTTGACTTCACGATTTGGAAGGCTTTTCTGAAATAAAAATGGCACATGCCAAAATATAATATCAAGTTGGTACCAATGTTATGAGATAAGGAAATTATGATAAATCAGGTTCAAGAAAACATGTTATGTTACTATTTCAAAACACTTTAAAGGTAGTACTAATATACAGGGTAACTCACGGTCCATGGTACGTTAGACGTTTACGGAGAACGGGACATAGGATCATTCGGAAATTTTGTTACTCAAGTAGTTGCTCTTGGTCTATCGATCTAAAATATTCTCAGCTCTGAGGCGTTGCCGCTTCTATCGAAAAGTAGCAACAACTTTGTTATTTTAAAAGGAACACCCTGTATTTTATTGCATTTTCAGATTCTCTCTGAAGAGCTGATTTCATCGATGTATCACACTTGGGGTCTAGCGGAAATGATTACAGAGATATAGGGTGTGAAAAATCGTCATTTCTCAACTTTAGGAATTTTTTTTTGGCGAAACTATTCATTATTGGTCGAAACGGCTCACATGTCCCTATTTCAACTTTTGATTAATCTACTGATATTTAATTGGGACATATACCGGGTGATCAAGATTCTGAATTCTGCACCACCCTGTATTTGTTATTATATATTATATATTGCTAGTGGTGAAAGAAATTTTATAAAAATGCATATTATTATCCACAGCAAGATCAACAGAGTTTTTTCATCTAGATGGTCACCAAATTTAAGAGTATAACCTCCAGTATAACTGAAATTTTATACAATATATTTATAAACAATCTCAAAAAAAATATTTTGAAAATGGAAAGATTGACAAAATTTATAGCAGAAATCTGAAATCGATAACTACTGGACTTGAAATTAACCAGTTTAATGAAGAGTTTAATTCAGCTCCAGAACTGATGAACATTTCACATGACAAATATGTATAAATCCTATTTCATGAGTTATTTCTAACCTTTGTCAATTGCCTGTGAATCTGGCTCACACTGAATATTATAAATCTTCCCTATATCTGACATATATTTCTCTAACAAAGTCTCAGGTTGGCTCTGAATCGATAGCTTGCTCCTCAGTTTTTCACTTATACCTTTGGCAATTCCACTCCTACAATCTTCAACAAAACTTTTTCCATATTTCAGTCCCAGAAGGTCAGAAACTATAGAAAGTTCAGTTATATCAGACTTGAACCTTGGAGCTACCCAAATCAAACTAGATACAGCATCAGCAATGCTTTCATTTAGTTCGGTTGCACTGAATATCAAATTGAATCTTGCTAGTATAGTAGATCACAATACATTTCAATTATTTCTAATCCTTCCAAAAGGTAATTCTCTCTGGAAAAATATAGCAATTAGATATAATTTCTTCTCCATTCCCACATTCTTGATTACCTGATTACGTATTTCATTCTGATTTTGGCTCTTTCTTGTCTGCTTTCTAACATGCATTCCCCTATTTCCTGTTTCAAATTCTTAATCTGCTGTGTTTTCTTTTTTTGGAATAATTTTAAAGTGATCACTGAATTTATCAAATTTTCCTTCAGTACTTCATAGTTAATTATTGTCGAATTCATTGTCCATTAAAAAAGTACTAGCCGAAAAATTGAATACTTGAAAAAATACTCAACAGTCAACACAACACCCAACAGTGATAATAAACTATAACCTTACTTTATTTCAAAATGATTTGAAAATGGGATTTGGCGGGAAACCGACCATTGGTGTCTCATGCACGGTCTGGTCACAGCATTATCGCCAATTCACAGAAGGTGACAATTTGAAAACTTTCAATGCGAATTATTCACAAAAAAAAGAGTTGAAAAAAAAAACGCCGTTTTTGGCACAGTGTAACGTTTAAATTTTTAGTTAAGACCACTTTCTACCAGAAACATCGAAGGCACATTCTGTGGGAATAGTAATGATACACCAAAGCATTTTTATTCGATATTCAAGGAATTCAGGTGGCAGGTACATTTCTTGAGTGTGGTACTGTACCTTCTTTTGTGTCAGGTCACATCGACACATCGAGCACCGTCCTCTCCGTCGCAGCCTGGAATTGAAAACATTCGCGTACAGTATTGCGGAATGCGGATTGTTTATAATAACCTGTTATTGCTAATAAATTTTCAACTACGTATATACCTGTATAAACATCTGCATAGGGATTTAAGCGATTCTAGGGGCCCTGGAGTTTGTCGATAAGTGTTCCTCGTCCCCTGTTATTCATTTGAAGACCTGAAAAGATGAAGTTAATTGTGGTGTTGTTGTGTAAATAGTGTGTAAGGTGCTGTGTTATTGGTATCTAAAAGATGTTTTTATCGAGTGGTAAATATATTTAACTTACCAGAATTTTAATTGGCGATCATATACACTCTCAGCCCTTCTGGTTTTGATTTGGTTTATTAATTAGTTATTGTTGTTGTTGTATAATTCTTGAGGTTAATTGTACGCCCGTCATTTCTGTCTAATAGTTCTCTCTTCTCTGACAGGACTATCGCAGGAGTACCAATTGTTTCGCGTTTGGCGTAAAACCGTAACAGCAGTATTCGTGCAGGCTGCGCGGGGTTGCCAAAGTTATTTTAGGAATATCCTGATCTGAGGTATATCATTTCATGGATCAAATTGAGACAATCATCAGGACTTTACTGTTTTAAGGTAGTAGGAGTTGGAAGTGGCGTATTGGTGCCAGGCTGCCTGTCAATCGCAGGAATTTACGAATTTTCATTGGTTTTAGTAAGTAGTGCCATCTAGCGTGGTAAGACCACTATGGTAAAGTTGAAGTATAGGTTGATAGATTTATGACATTCTGTCACATGCACGTCACATGTTGGTGTTTTGTGGGCTCGGTGCAATCAGGCCCATCATTCGTGAACTGGTTACTGGAGTGAAAAGTACAACTACTGATGGACTGAAAACCTAGTATGGTCGTCTGAGGTTATCTCCAGAAATTTGTGATTTTAGAAATCATCCTTTATTGGGTTTCATTTTGGAGGTGATCAAATTTATTTTGGGAATTGTCGTTGCCTATGGACGTTGGTATTTTTGTTGTTGATTTCCCAAAATTTGTCTCGTGTAGAGGATTTTGTCTGACGCCATTCCATCGATCATTCTGAGTGACCAACAAGAACTATTTCCAGGTATGTGATTATTCCTTGAAAGAAAAATTTATAATTCCTGCTATTTCACCTTTTCTCAAAACCAATTGCTAGTTTCCAAGTCTTACAATTTTGTTCCTTATTGTTAGATACCATAAGGCCCATAGTCGCGTGCAGGGCGGAATAACACACTCTAGGAGCCCTAAAGAAGTAATCACACTCAAACGAAGAACCCCTTGGCCAGGGTAAGCATTCTCATGAGTAATTCAACTTAATTAAGTAGAGTATGCTATGGGTTGACCTAATTTTTTTGCACTTTAGGCGTGGTGCCACTTAAATTTAATTTATAGGCAAATTAAGTCCAATCAGAAATTTCTCAATTTGAATGAGACTAGTTCTGTTGTTGGATTTGAAATATGTGTAAAAGTTAAAACAATTTAATTATTTGTTTTTTTTTTTAATTTTGTGAAGTATAGGCTCTATTCTACTTATATGCTTATATGCTTCTAAGTAATACAGTGTTGCCACTTCCATTATATTTGGAGGGCACTCACTCACAGTTTGTTGAAAAGGGAAATAAATTGGTGAAGGGTTTCTTATTCAAATCTATTGGGAGCTACATTGTCAGTATGGTGTTGAATATTTCTGCGACTCTCATTTCCATTTTTTTTTTTGAAAAGGCAGGACTGCCATTGCTATCTATTTTTTTTTCATTATGGGAAAAATGTTGACTGCGTTTCTCCCACAGGGTTTTTTTTTTGGACTGGAAAACTTCCGCAGCAGACAGGCTGTACTACTGGGTGCTATTTGATTGGTCGTGCTCCCCAAGCATCATCTACTGTCACCTCACAGGGACCTAGTGGCTTAATGGTACCCTCGAAGCGGGATATACAGGGTGGCCCAAGACTATCATATACAGGGTGGCCCAAGAATATTATTATACAGGGTGGCCCAAGGATACCCTTATACAGGGTGATCCAAGCCAATGGTGATCTACATTCCAGGGGTTGATCCAGTGAGCTGTTTCACCGTTCAGGATAGCACGCAAGTTTTTGAACAGCCTGCTTATTTATTTATTTTTTTTGCTTCTCCGTTTTTTTTTGTAAATAACTAGCTGATAACTAGATGTTTCTGTGTTGCCTGTTTCTATTAGCCATACATGCGTCTGGTTACTTTGTACAGCGTAAATTAAGCACTCTGGTGGTTGTGGGTCTTATACCAAAGTTGTGAATTTAATGCGCTTGCGCCTGAGCTCACGCGACGCTTACATAAATCATAAAATCTGCTTAATTCCTGCGCTCTTTATCTCTGCTTATTTTTTTTTTATGTTTCTCCCTTGATATTACTATATTATTATTATGCTTATTGCTTGATATTGCTATATTATTTATTATGCGTATTGCTTGATATTGCTACTGCGGCTTATTATATTTTTTGTGGCTAACGGCTAATATATTTTCTTTTCCTCAAGTTAGTTGGTGAAAAGTTGCCATTGGCTTATTATTTTTCTTTTGTTGTGACTAACGATTGATAGTGCTTGATATTCCTATATTATTTATTATGCTTATTGCTTGATATTCCTATATTATTTATTATGCTTATTGCTTGATATTACTATATTATTATTATACTTATTGCTTGATATTGCTATAATATTATTTATTATGCGTATTGCTAGATATTGCTACCTTCTTTTTCTTCATGTTTAGCGCTTAAGGGTGCTACTGACTCACCGCCTATTAGTTTTATTTTTTTTTGTGGCTAATGATTAATATCGCTTGTAGTATCGCTATTTTTTTTTGCTTTCATCGTTCAATAGTGCTATTGGCTAAATATTTTGTTTAATTGTTGCATATTACCGCGGTACTCATTTTAATTCTTTTATTGTTGCAATGCTTTGGCTCTTCTGATTATCTCATGTTTCACTTCCTCACTTGCATGATTACTGATATTGCTTACTGCGGTGTGTGCTTACCGATACTTATTTGAACTCATTCTTGCCTAGCAGGTCTACTCTTCATTTTCAGATTGGATATTTTCATCATTTTATTGTACTACCCATATGATCGCAGGAATTTCAATATATATATGTGCTGACGATTAATTTGTTTTACTCTCATTTGGTAAATTTGGAGAGGGATTGTTTGGGTATTTGTAAGGGGTATGAAATTTACCTGGCGCCCATTGGTCATCTATTTTATTCTTTACTCGAGAAATCTTACCGAACCACCCCATCTCCACTAGAGCGAGCGGCAAATACCCACTTGTCACATGACAATCGTGGTCCAGTAACACCAGTGGAATTTTAGGTTACATTTTTGGCGCCCAACGTGGGGCCCGAGAAAAAAAAACACTTTTTTTTTATTTGTAATTGTTTTCCGAAGGAATGGCCTGCTAGGAGGCACGTGAGTAGGAAGTGATCATGAAATAAGTCGCACATTTTCATAAAAAAAATAAATTTGTTTATTCTCTACATCAACAATCATAATAAATTTGGCCTACAGCATTTTTATTTCCTGTCGATTTTCTCCGTCTCCTGTTTGAGGTTAGTGTGTATCTTCTGTCTGTTGTTTTGGTTAAAAGGAGGAGACTGGGGAGCGATATTGGAATTGACAATTAGCTGTCTTTTGAGTACAATGGCTACGAAAATGCAAATTAATAGGTTGAGTCATGATGAGCTCTCCTATGAGCTACGGATACGGGGCATCGCTACTGGCACCGTCGAACAGATGCGTCAATCTCTCACCATGGCTATCAGGCTCGAGAAGAGCGGCGATAGCATAAAATTTCCTAAGTACCCTTTCACGGTTGAGGAAGATGTGAAAGCGGTAACAGATAAGCTGGCAGAACTGGAACCCCTTATTGCCGAATTCAATGATACGCGCTTTAGTAATTCTTTCCAAAAGTATCAGACTAAGTTGGCTCATATTCTCAATAGAATTGAGCATATCGGCGAAGAGTCTGGAGATCGTCCAGAACTCCTTGCCAAGATCCTCGCCCTTTTAGAGTTACTCCAGTTGAAGGTGGATGAGCATGAGCGACTTCGTAATGTGCCGCCACAGCTCAGTCTCTTGGAGGAAACTAATTTTCAAGCCCAGATTCACCCGCAAAGTAGGTCATCTAGTGTTTCACCACCTCCGGGTCCTTCGCATAATATAAAGTCCATTCTTCCAAACAAATGGGACTGTAAATTTTCTGGCGATAAGAAAGGGTATTCATTGAGCGCATTTCTAGGTAGAGTTGAGGAGTTGAGGGTTGCGCGTCACGTCTCTAAGGAGACATTGCTCGAGTCGGGTATCGATTTTTTCTCAGGTAGGGCATATCAATTTTATTTAGCTTATCGGCATGAAGTTAGCACCTGGGACGAGTTCGTAGCATTACTGAGGGAGGAATACCTCTCGTCAAATTTCAACGAGAAATTATTCGAGGAAATAGGGAAAAGAACTCAAGGTCCGGACGAATCGATTGGTATTTATCTG